TTTTTTTCATGTTTCTTTGTTCAATTATTTCCAATGATCTGCAAGTGTCCTTATATTTATGACCAGTGAGTGTATAAACCAATTCAGGTACAAAATCATGTACTTTATGTTCATCATGTCGAATTTGTTTTTGTTAGACAAAGCTTCTTCATTGTCCTCCATTGTTTGTTTTTCATTTGATATTTTAGGCAAAATTTCTTCATTATCTTTCACTCCTGATATGTTTTGTAAGAATTCTGAAAATTTATGTTCCAAGAATATTGTTGAATCAAGTAGTCTAATTCTCTCAGTAAATTCCTTGTCAAGGTTAAGTTGGTAGAATTTAGTATACAACCTCCCACAGTTTTACCTTATGGTGGAACCTTCAAAGGTTTCACAAGTACCAAGCAAATATTTGCAAAATGAAGTTATAGAAGATGGAATTTTTTTAATGCTATTTTGTTAAATAAGCTTCAGAGATGCTTGCCAATCATTGTAAATGGTAGACAGTGGTAAAATTATTTCATTGTTTTTCAAACGAAAACTTAAATAATGTTTCAACTGCCAAAAATTTGGCTTCAACTTTCTTAAAGTAAACATGAGTATTGCACTTGTCAGGCACTGTAAATTCCAGGTATTCGATACTTCTAAGTACTGCAGTCATGATTTACAAAAAGAAGGTGAAGAATGGTTCCAATTACAATAAACATGCAATTAAGTATACCACAAAAGCTTGGGAAATGCCACCAATCAAACAATCATTAATTGCTGGAAAAAACTGCAATTTTACCTGGTGTAGATGAAAACTCTGCTGAAGTTGCATCTTTCCTAGATTCTTCAAGAAATGACAATGAAAATGAATTGCAAAATTTAATTAATGAATTTAGTTTTACCTGGATTAGAATACCTTTCCATTGATGAAATGAAAAAAAATGTTGATTATGATGATTTGCTGAATGAAGAAGAAATAGTTTCTATGTTGAATTCTAATGAAGAAAATCAGGATTAAGATATCAAAGAGATGCCTCCTATTTCAAGCCGAGATGCTTTATTGGTTATTGAAAAAGTAAACTTGTTTGTTGAACAACAATTTAAGGAATTTACAAATGGGGAATTGAAACTGTTAAAAAATGCAAAGAAAATCAAAAAAATAGATTCCATTCAACAAAACAATTGAAATTAAACCATTTTTTTAATATTAATATTGAATAATATTTTTTATGTAATAATATAACAAATAAAATTTTTTTATTCTGTGACTTAATATAGTGCAATTTTCTATACCAGATTCTCTCTATAACAGACAAATTTCCCAGTCCCAATGATCTGTTATAGACAATGTGGACTGTGTGCCTTTAAATTATTAAAAACTACAAAGTGAACACAAAATTATATATAGAGAGATAAGTGTATATATATGAAAAGTAATAAATATAATGGTTCTAATGAGAGTATATAGACATTCAGTACTGTACTCTTTTGCATTCCTGTACTGTATGGTCTACAAAAATAGAAATTTTTTTAAAAAAGTCATACACCAACATACAGTACACAGCACCCCCACCAATCAAATAGATTCTGTACTCATAACATTTAATACAGAAATGCTGATTTGCAGATCATACAGTACAGGAATGCAAAAGTGTGCAGTACTGAATGTCTACTGACTATGATGAAATGAGCATGGTGGACATTCAAATGTTGCACCAATTTTTTATGCCATGTAACGTAATTTTTAAAGTAAGGAAACTGTGCGCTCAATTAAAATGGGTATACGTTGATATGTAACACATACTGTAACTTTACAGAGATATTCTTTAATGTTTTTTTAACTTAATTCCAGCTGCATCCGTCGGCATCCGCAATTTTGACATACTTTACTTAGTACTAACATTTCCATATGTTATTATGCAGCAGATGTGTAATTTGCAACGAAATTAGAGTAGGCTCCGAAGTATAGAAAAATAAGTAAAGAAACTAAAACTTTTAAACAATAAATGAAGCTACTAAAGGAAAAACTGAAGGGGGATACAACAAGGTATT